ACAGCAGCGTTAAGCTGCTACTTTACGCTGGTTTTCTGTAAGAGCGTGGTCCTGCCCCGGTCGAGCCGACCTATTCGGACTACAACTATACTACAACTATATATTAGTAGTATAGTTGTAGTCTAGTAGTATAGTTGTAGTCAGAATAGGTCGGCAATAGTAGTAGTAGCAAGACTTGCAGCATTTCTCCACCACGTTATAATCAATCCTATTAAATTATGATAGGAAGTTCAACTGTATTTTTGTTACATATTGCAGTATACTTTAATTTTTGTCAGATCACAAGGGAATAGGCATACGTAATATATACCTACATGAATAACGATTTCTCGTATTTATGCGAATGCAACACTCTGAATAAAAATAATTTTACCGATTTTATTAATATTATTATAATCATATATTAACTTGTCTTGATATCTTGAACTTTTTAGAAGTAAAAAAATCTTATATTTTTATTATTACCTATTTTCCTACCTTTCTTACCTATTTGAATGATTTTGTTTGAAATATATATTTATACGTAACTGAATTAGTAAAATTGAATTTATAGTAAATTGTTGTAATATTTTTTTTAGATTTATCATCATCATTACAGCCCTTACACAAGTCCACTCCTGAATATAGGCCCCCTAGGAATACCACAAGACACGGTCCCGAGCCACCTGAATCCATCAACCTCCTGCATGTCTTACCAGGTCGTCTAATGGAGTGACGACCTGGTAATTGGACGGCCCCCCGCCCTAAACTTCGCCTAAATTAGATTAATATAAATTAACTTTGTATTAGGAAACCGGGAAAAAAAACCCCCACCAGGGAAATACCCGAGAAAACGCACCCCAAACGCAACCCGCAAAACTGAACAAAAAAAGACAAAATGTAAAAAAAAAAAAAAAAAAAAAAAAAAACCCCCAACATTTTTATTTTGTGAAATTTTAATGTTTTATGTCGATTTTATAAAATATTATACGTTCGAATGGGCAATCAGTAGCCTATATTTATAATTTAATAACTTTGTACTTATCAATATATCTTCCAAGTAACCGCGTACCAGAGCTGTTCCGTACAACTTTACGTAAAAGATAAAGAAAAGACAGATGTATTAAAAATTAACATTTATTGTATTCATACAACTTTATAACAGTCTAAAAACTATTACAATACCTAATAATACACTATCATACAAAAGCCAGGCACTTTGCAATTAAAACAGTAGAATTTACACTAATTCATGATATATGCCCATAAAACAACAACCGCTAAAGACTTCAATGTTAAAAACCGCAATGACTTACAGGATAGGCAGCAAATTAAAATAATCGCCATTCTGGTTCCCTGCCTATTTATGGATATATATCACACTGCTATTTACTAACTACGAATGAATACTATATAATTAGATAATGAATTTAAGTAAAAACGATAATATAGTCTCTCGTTCTAATAAAATACATTACAAGGAGATTACACTACGAAAATAGCAGAGAGCAAGACTAACTGTTTGTATTTTTTTAAAGAACTATTTTTCTTGTTGAATAGAAAGCCTTATATTATCTGTGGTTATATTTTACGCCAAAATTATGATGACAGTTTGCAATGACAATAATTATCATTAGGCTCAATTTGATTTTAAAGAATGCTCTTTTTGCTTTTACGCAGTTTTATGTTATTGTAAATTATAAGTGCGCAGGGACAATGTAATTAACGTGAAAAAGACGGTTTCAAATGTACATCATTTTATTTAACATCATTATTGTGTAAAAATAAATTCTTATACGTTAATTCCTTAATTACAAATAAATTTAGTTATATATAATAAATAATACATTTATATAATGGCAAATTATGTACAGTCTTAAAGATATGTGATTGTAAGGCACTACATAAACATCAATCAACTACATCTTGTATAAAACCAGATACACAATACACATGGCAACACGTAACGTTATAATATTCATACGCAGAATATAAAACGTTGAAATTATCTATCAAGAGATATATTTAATTTCATTTAATAGAAATCTTTTAAATCTGGTGTCAGATCAACAAATAAAGATAGCCGGAGCGCTGTGTATATGCAAGTGATGTCAAAACCATGCTCAAAGAAAGAAGAAAGTTGTCTGCGTGTGTGTGTGTGTTAAGAAGTTTCTTAACACACACACACGCACACATCTTTCTTCTTTCTTTCTTTATCTGCCCGTAAAAATTCACTGCACGACAATGATTTTAGACGAATATGTGCTAGTGACTGTGTGTTCTTACAATAAGTTGAGCATGGTTTTGGCTTCGTTTTTGCATCACTTGAAAGGTACGTAAATCTCTGGCGTTATTTCTTAATTGGTCTGAGTATCTAATATATTAACGCTAAAATCAGGAATGTTTTGTAAAATGTATCATTCTCTTATTCTTAGAGAAAAAAGAAACAGCCCCCGAGCGGTCGCACGAGCCCGTGGCCATATTCCGTCAAATCCCTAGCGATCTCATGAGACCGCACCCACCCACAGCACTTTAACCCATAAATACTTATATTTAGAGACTACTTTTCTGTGAAGAAGTTTAGCATTATATAATCAATATGAAATACTCTAACATCTAGTGCAATAAAAAATCTGTTATCTTATGAATATTTATTTATAATCTACGTTTATTTCGTACACCATTTTCGCGTGAATGTTATTGTGTTGATTTTTGGATTTTTCTAGTGTCTTAGTATAGTGTGTTATTATAAAATTGTAATGAAAGTTTTTGTGTGAATATAATTTATCTATTTACGTAAATAATTTCGAGTACTATATATTGAAATATTTGTGATTTTCACGCTGCCGACATTCGCTTGGTATATATCCTTTTTATTATCAAAATACAATAAAAACTCTTTGTAATGAAGTATTACCTGACTTTTGTTTAGACCATAAGATAGAGAATTTTGTATAGATTTTATAATGCTAAACTTCTACATAGAAAAGTCGTCTCTAAATATAAATTTTAATGGATTTAATTGCTGTGGGTGGGTACGGTCGCTTGCGAGCGCTCGGGATTTGCCGGGCGCATGCGACTGCATGGGATTTTTAAGGGGCTTGAGGAGTTAAGACATGCTAATCAATCTATAAAAGAAACCTACGGTAAAGAAGCACTTAAAATCGTTTGCAACTAACTGTTTAGACGCATATGACATATGCTATATGTGTGCGTGAGCGTGTGTGCGAATAAGTTGAACATGGTTTCGACGACACATAAAATGTACATAGTGTTATATCTTCTTACTTTGTTAGTCTATGTTTTCATTTAAATAAATCGTATGGTACATAATTATTGATGTAACAGTTTTAAAAATAATTGGTGATTGTTTAAATTAAACAATAATAATAATAGTTCGATGTGTGTGATGCTTCTATATATTTTTATATAAAGAGGCCACTTATTTGATTTAATGTTAAACAGCGTGTGACGATATTTAAAACTTGATCTGTAATCCAGATACAGGCAAATCACGTTTAAGGTGCTTTAACCCTTAAACTGGAAAACTCAGTAATTTATATCAGATTATAATTATTTCATTAAACATTTCAACAAACGATTACATGAGTAAGAATTAATTATTATTATTTAAAACACTGATATAAATAACTTGAGGTTGATTTATCAATAAATAACGCTAAACAACGAGAGACCGTTGTTAGCTCCTTCTCTCTCTCACTCCCTCGGGTTTTTTCTCTGAGGATAAGTGGATGTTATGGCCCACAGATATTCAAATCTATAGTCAACTAGCTTGCCTTGTTCTGCCTTTTTCGACGACCCTTTGTGTCTCCTCCAATGTCCTATTAAAATCCTTAAATTCGAAAAAAAAAATTGTGGGTCACTCATGGGCAAAAAAACTAAACTATCCTATCTCTCAAGTCGGACCAAACTGCACACGGTGCGCAAATTTGATTAAAATCGGTTAAGTAGTTTAGGAGTCCATCGCGGACAAACAACGTGACACGTAATATATATTGTGAATTATAAATGCAGATGCATTATCACCCTAAGATGGTATACCTCGTTTCCAGTAAAAAAGGGTCTCCGGTTCTCTAAGCTAAGCTGCTATTTTATGCTGATATTCTGTGAGAGCGTGGTCCTACGCCGGTCAAGCCGACCAATTTGTACTACAACTATAATATAGCTGCAGCGTGGCTCTACCACGACAACACAGCGGTCGAGTTTCCGTCCAAACTCCACTAAAAACAATCATAGCGTGGGAAATTAACTTGTTAAAAAGTGTGGGATTAGTATTTCTAGATAATTAATGGATAAAGCAAATGAAGGATATTCCTAAACGTAGAAGAATTAAAAAAATTGTAAAAGAAAATAATTAATACAGCACTGAGGCATTGTTTTGTGTACATACAATGTACATACAACAGAAACTGAAAAGCTAATAATTAAAACGCTAATAAAAAATTAATTTTGACACAGTGTGAATGTCTGCGTAACAAATCAATTCACTTCAGTCTCTACTAGCGACATCTGGTGGTCAGAGTAAGATTATTAGTTCCTCATTATTATCAACGGTAAAAAAATTGATTAAATTAACTTAAAATATTTTATTATACATGTTCACACATTCAAAAAGCCGTTCATTCTATGAACTAATACGAATTTGATAAATGAGATTATCACAAGACATTTTATATAGCGGACATGCTAAAACCTACCTTTTCAATATAAATTAAAGCTTATTATGGAATAGCCAGATTTTCTTAAAAACAATTTTCTATTGGCCAAATACTCAAACGCTTCTCAATTTTAAGACGTCGTTATTCTCAGTCAGACAGCAGCTCTAGTTAGACAGCATGATAGACACAGCATCTTAAAATTGAATAGCGTTTGAGTATGCGGGCATATTTTTCCTAATTTATATAGATCGAAGCTTGACTTACATACAACCTGGTGCTGATGAGTTCTAAATTGCTTCAAGTCAGAAGGTGGGTTCACAATACAAGCACAAGATCCACACACTAAGCCACCAACTCTCTAAGTTTCGTCTTTAACATTTTAACTTTTTTATTCACTGCACTCTTGTAATTGCTCTTGGAGTCCGTGAACTTATGTTCCGAACTGGTCCTGCTGCTGAGACGCTCGTGGAACAACTCATAGAAGTCTGGTAGTGGCGTGTCCACTAGTTGCCCAGCGCTGGGAAGGCGCGCTGGAAAACACGCCGCCATGTTCTGCACGAAGTGGTTGAACATGGCACTCTCCGTGAACCACTCCAGGAAGTACTGCTTCTGCTTCGAGGCGGCATTACGTACGAACGCTTCCTTCTGCAGGAAAACAAACATACACGTTTTGTAAAAAGGAAACTTATAGTTAAAGTTAAAATAAAATTTGATAGTTTTGATGAAAATTTTTCTATCAAAATCAGGGGTTACAGTTTGGTTTTGCAGCAGACCTATGATCTACATCCATTTAATGACGTCGAGTGGTGATATCTAAAGAGTCAAAGAATTCGTTACGTTGAGTAAGGACTGTAACGCATCGCGTGTGGGCGGAGATGGGAGGGGAAGCGCCGCCATTTTAAGGTCGTTTCGTTTTTTTATAGAATAAGGGTACAACGAACAGTCCACCTTAAGTGTACTGTGGTCCATATACATCTACATCTATCCTCAAATCAACCAATGCGTTGTCACCCCTGAACACAAAGAAGCATGGAATGCCTCGTTTCCAGTAAAAAAGGGTCTTCGGATCTCTACACTCACCAAACGAAATACAGCAGTTGTTGTTTTTCGGTGGTATTCTGTGAGAGCATGATACTTCCACGGTCGAGCCTACTCATTCTTGCTACAACCATAGTATAGCTGCAGCATGCCTCTACCACGTATAAAAATAAACACGTATTGCCTGTTATATTGAACGATCTACGATCGCTAGTGAATGAAAGTTGTAAGAGCGAGCGAGACGCATGCACATCTTTCGTTATGTAGGCGCCAGGCGGCCGACACATCGTTGCAGCTAACATTTTTAGAATCAGCTGACGCACGCCTTACGTTTACGTATTTACGTAAAACACACGGCCATGAACACCACACAGCCACAACACGATTTTTTAATGGGTGGTGGTAAGAGTCCTCATCTGGCTAGAAATCCGTCGAAGTAGATTCCACCCTTTTACCAATTTCTACCGTCAAGTATCAGTGCTTGTACTGCTGTGTTCTGGTCTGAAGGGTATAGAGCTAGTATAATTAGACTGTGAGGCATTCCGTCTTGGTCCTCCAGAGGTGACAACGCTTGTTTGTTTGAAGTTAGTTCCAAGTGCTCTATGGAGTACAATAGCCACTTAGCATCAGGTGGACTATCTTCGTTTGTCACTTCAATTTATCTAAAAAAGTTAGTGACCGATATGTTAGTTTATCTTTCTTCCATCTAATTCAACAGTGTTATTGTGTAATTACAGTGGAAATAGTTTGTCGGTTGGAAGCACTCCACAGTGGCCAACAAAATATTCATAACATTATCAAATCACTAGCTGGCCTGGCTAACGTTATTCTGCCCTTTATGGTTGGTAGTGCGATGAGTTTAATTTTCCCATACACACACTTTTGTATAGATTTATTACACGTTAAACTAAATCATCTTTAGGACTAATAGAACCATCAGCAGCCATAATGACAAACTTAATAAAATAAATAATAAAAAAATAAAAAACCCGACTGCAAAAAAGACAATTTAAAAGTAATTCACTAAAAAGACCGAAACAAGATTGAGTAAAGAAAACAAAATTAAAAAAAAACTATAAACAAAGTAAACTCTACTTCAGTTTAACAGACTATATTATGAGCTGAAAGCCTAAGTAAGATATTAAGTTCAGTAGCAAGTGAAACCCATTAATTTTCTTTCGGTTTATAATTTGTAATTGGATCCCACCTCTACATATATTATTATACATATACATATATTTGTAATCCTCTTTTAATTTCTTTTATTTTTGATATCCTATTCGATAGGTTTAGTTTAAAAAAAATTATTAATGTATTATTATTTTGCGTCAAAAATGCGCCATTTTGTATATTTAGGAAAGAGCTATCTAGGAACACTTAGGTTATTACGACGAATAAAATGATACATTAATTATCTATATATTACACACAGTCATTTACTGTCTACATACAAAATTTCTTGGAAGTCTGTATGGTAGTTATCGCGTGAATCGTGAACATACAATTATTCTACAGATTTACTGTATGCACTACACGATAGCCAAAAAATATACTTACATCGAAAACTACACCATTTTTCCCCATCTCTCCCTCTTTAACTTCCCGCACGGCGAAGTACTTCCAGAAGTCGCCGAGGATGTCCACAAAAAACCTCAAGAACGCCTCCGATATCATGACGTTCCTCGTCTTCGTGTCGTCCTGTTTGTCCTTCTGCTTTATCGACTCCATTTGTAAAGAGGTCTTCAGGGTTTTGTAGCTCGAGGTCGGCAGAATCGTGGACTCGTCGCCTTGGTAGTAGAGAACTTTGTTTGGATGCGTTAGGTCTATCAGCATTCCCTATAATAAAAATATAAAACGGTTTTAAAAGCGATTCATGGCGGATAACACGAAACCTTTATTATATTATAACAAACAAGATTATCCCGTACTTACTTACTTATCTTCACGCACAATCCCTAACGGGGTAGCCAGAGAGAACAGATCGCCAAGTGTCACGATCCTTACATACCTCTTTCGCTTCTTTCAGGTTCATTAACTTCTTCATACATGCACGTCTAGGTATCCGAGTACTCTTGACCCTCCCCTCTTCGAGCAATTTGCTCACATGGTCTTCGAAAGTTAGTCTCGGTCTACCTCGACACCTTTTAATATTTACTTTCGCTCTATATATTTTCTTCACCATTCGGTCTTCACTCATTCGTTCAACGTGCCCAAACCATTGGAGTATAATCTCCAATGGTAGATTATCCCGTAATATACTATTATCCATAGTAATCAGGGAATACCCGTTAAAATAGCAGTTCAAAGCTGCTGGGTTTCGTATGGTGAATGTTGAGAACCGGAGACCCTTTTTACTGGAAACGAGGCATTCCATCTGAGTCCTCACGGGTGACAAAACATCTTCATTTTAATTCATAATCGAGGATAGATGTAGATGTCTATGGATCACAGTAACCAATTACCATCAGGTGGACTGTGTGCTCGTTGGTCACCCATATCTTATTAAAAAAGGGGTAAAAGTAGTCTTTATCATAATTCAGTCCATATTGCAATAAAATTTATGCGAGAAGTGGTGATATTTTCCAACTATATCTGGGCTTTGGGAAATGCAGTTCCAGCAGTTAACTGCACTTGAAATAATGTAATGACTATGACATGATAAAACGACATAAAAATCCTAATAAAGAAACGTGATTTAGCAGATAAGCGCTCGTCTTTGATTAGAGGCTTTAACCAAGCCTTGTTCAGTCTCCGGAATCATAAATTAAGTTATTAATTGCATTTTCAGTAGGCACTGAAAACATCGTGAGAAAACCTGCATGTTTGAAGAGTTAAAAATATTTCGAGATCATGATATGTCGTCCGCAAACACCTATTGGGATAAGAGGAGACCTTACTCTACTTTGATAGTATACAGAATTTATCTCCAATCAAAATTTTCTAAACTCGTTACAAGATCTATTGTGAAATGTAGACGAGACGAGTAATAAGACAAAAGCATCATACAAAAGTCTAGAACTTAGTAACATGTTAAAAAAATTCATAGGCACTTACATTATTTTACATTTATATTAGTCCTTATCAAGCCGGATAAGATGGCACAAATTTGAAATAAATTGTCCGTTATGTCGTATTAATTCCAGTACTTGGATGACCAAGCTTTCCTCGGTATTTTTTTTTTTTTGGAAATTATATTTAGATACAAATTACATGCTGATGAAACATTAATAATATTTTTTGATTTTATTGACATAATAGAAAAAACTGAAGTGGTTATTTGAATAAAAAATCATGAGTGCAATTAGTTTAATTTAAATTTTCGTATTTTAAAAAAAATACTAAAAAAGGGCTCGAAATAATAGATTTTCTCACAAAAGAAAGGAACTTGAAAAAAAAGGTAAAAAAAAGTCGGACCAGAGATAGGACGCGAATCAGGGCACTCCGATTTCGCGACCGACCGATATCCCACTTGAGCTATTAAGATAGTCAATACGCTGTCAAAATTTACCTTCTTATATTGTAGCAGTTTTTCATTGCCTGAAAAGAGGGACAAAAGGACATTTACTAAAATTGAATCCTAGCTAGATCGATTTATTGCCCCCGAAACCCCCTGGACACTAAATATTATGAAAATCGTTGGAGCCGTTTCCGATTATATATATATATATATATATATATATATATATATATATATATATATATATATATATATATATATATATATATATATATATATATATACATACAAGAATTACTCGTTTAGATATAGGATTACACCCAACTTTATAATATTATTTATTCAGCAAATAACTGATTAATTTACTCCTGCTATTTTTGCTACGGAGAAAGACTTTAAACCATTTTTTTAATGTTAACAAAGTAATCAAAATCATATACATAAGACAGTTGTACCAGAAGTATAGTAGTAATAAATTAAGTCCTATGTTTATTATAATATCCAACTTTTCATCGATAATGCGTATCGACACTTGTTACAGCCACTACTGTATGAAAATTGTCAATGTAATTTCGTCACTTCATTACACTGTTATGACTTAGAGTGTATCTATGTGTGTGTGAAATTGTTGATGTATTATTTTAATTGTTATGTAAGAGTTTCGTAGTGAGAGACGATTATTTTTATGTGAGAGTCTGAGAATGTGTGCGTGGCGCAGATTTCCCCCGCAAAAATGACAGACAGTTTGGTATCTAAAAATAACGCTATGGCTTCTTCCTCCCTTGTTTCCCTACTGTGTTTCTCCTTTATGGTCGAATTCGAATGCTTAGGGATTGAGAGGTTAAGTGTAACAAGCATGCACAACTTCATAAAATAAGTGATATTCATTCTGTAAATACTAGGAACAGACACAAACTAGTAGTACCAGTTACTCGACTCCACTGAGTCAGTACTTCATTCTTGGGGCGATGTATACGCTTTTACAACAAACTCCCAGAAAATACACAAAAGTTAACATACACCACTTCCTAAGCAAATTATATCATTGCACACATATTATAGTTGTAGGTCAATTGTGGCAGTCGTATGTTGAAAACAGTTCAGTAGGCTCTTGCTGCAGTGATTTGTTTAACTATATTCAGATTTATAATCAAAACATATAATAATCCTACAAACCTCTTCGAACAGAATCCCGGCAGCATCACCGTCACCTTCCGCCTTCAGCATACCAGCAAGTATGGGGAGCGGCGCCTCTAGCACGTCTCGCTGTATTTCCGCCGGGATCGTGGAGATGAGAGGTTGCTGCCACACGAACGGATAGAGGGCGCCCTGAAGTGCCTCCATGCATGACGATACCACGCTAGAAATAAATATTCATATATGTTATTTATTTATTTACACTTTATTACACCTTAATAAAAAGGATTACAAAGGGCGGACTTAATGCCATTAGGCATTCTCTCCAAGTCAATCAAAAAAAAAAGTTACTAGAAATAAATATTCATATATGTTATTTATTTTGGTTATAGACTCAAACGGTTATACTTTCGCCAGTATCAAGAAAACAATATAACTCATAAATTAAGAAAAAAATTGCACACAATATGTGGTTGAGACACATTATTTATTTATTTATTTAAGTAAGTATATTTTTATTTAGTAACACCTTAAGCCAAAAGAATACATAGGGCGGACTTAATGCCATGTAACATTCTCTGCCAGTCAACCCTGGGTGCCAAGGGCAATTGTTGGCAGGTGCGATCATTATACATAAATAAGTGCACATACATTAAAATATACACACATATAGTATAAATATACGTACAATAATACATATATATATATATATATATATATATATATATATATATATATATATATACATGCTTATAAACTTCGTAAATAAATATCCAAATGAATGATATATATTATATAATGTTTGAATAATATATAATGAAATAAATATTTGAAGTAAAAAAAAGAACAAGAGAAAGACAAGAATTAAAGAAAAATAATGTCAATTAGTAGTTGCCTTCAGGTAATGTTCTCGGAAAAGAACTTTGAAAACTTTTTTATTTGTGGCATTCTTAATATCATTGGGGAAGGTGTTCCAAAGTTGTATAGCTTGAATCGTAAAAGACGACCTAAAAAAATTAGACTTATGCTGTGGAAACAAACATTACGTAACAAAGAAGCGTAACAGTGATGTATTTTGTATGGTGAGCGTGGAGAACCGAAGATCCTTTTACTGGTAACTAGGCATTCCATCTTAGTCCTCAGGGGTGACAGCGCATTTGCATTTTGATTCGTAATCGACGATAAATGTAGATATAAATAGGCTACAGCAACCACTTACCATCTTACCCACGGAGCAAATACAAAGAGACGGCCTAAACAACTGTGCACTGTGATTCTAACTAGGTCCTGACGTCATCACAGTGGGCGTGGCTTTAGTTAGTATACTGTCAGCGTTCGTCCTGTGCGTATAGGTGTCGAAAATTGCAAATCTGTGTATTTTCGTATTATTAAGAAGAAAAGGATGAATTGTTGTGTTTTATCGTGTAAAAACTACTCAGATAGACGTTTTGATGCTATGAATGGTATCACATTTCACGTGTAAGTAATTATATAACTAATATATTAAAATAATTCTAGAAAGATCTCTTTGCGTCGGCTTTCAAATATAATTAAATATATTCGATACTAGATGGCGACACTTTGTGTCGTGGGAACTAAAAATATAGAGGTACGTCGAGCTCAGTATTGGTAAAACAATCATACGAAGATGCTGAAATTGTTTTTTTGAAGTTGGTTTCAGTGCTAAAGAATTTTTAATCGCCAAAATATTACTTTTATAGATTTAATAATCATTTTGTAAACAGGCCGCCATCTACCGTCAAGTAAAAGAACAATCAAAATAAAATAAAAAGACAGGGCCGTAATTAAAATCCAATTATTTTACCTCTTGTAATATTATTTAGGCTGATTTTTTACGAAATGTCTACAATGTATATAAATACTTAAATATTTAGCATTTTGTAAAAGTCAACCTTCAAGAAATCTTATTCTTAGTAAAATAAAGTCTTCTTGAAATTAAATATTCTATGTACAATATTCAGTGTCCTTGAAACTTTTCTTAAGAAAGACAACTATTATAACAGATGTAGTTCAGTTAGTTAAAAAGCTTATTTTATTTACTTTATATTCTAGATTTCCATCCGAAGATAATCTTAAACAGCAATGGATAGCAAAAATTAATAGACAAGACTGGACTCCGACAAAATATACAAAGATTTGTTCTTGCCATTTCAATGATGACGACTTCACAGTTACAAAAAATGGCTTTAAAAAATTAAATAAGGGAACTTTACCCAGTATTAATCTGGATATATCGGTTCGGTTGGTCGCAGTTTGTATTTTACTAGTTTTTTTTTTTTTTCTACTCACACATCATGTGGTTGCGCCAACGCACACCTTTGCATTTTCGTATTTGTTGATGTAGTTTGTTAGTTGAGTTGGCCGGCATAACCTCTCCTCACTTCCGTTCCTTTCCCGCACGATCCTGCCTAATGGGGGAGCTAGATGATGGACGATCTTTGGTCCTCCAATGAGAGGCGCTCTCCGCCAAGCGGAAGGGGGGATGGTGGAAGCTGTAAGAACACACGCGCGCCAGTGCAATACAATTTTCGTTGGGTCCGCAAGGCCGTAGGGAGGGGCCGCTCGCCGCTCCCCCCAGGTAAATGCCCATCCTTATTTTTGAGCTGTTTTTATTTGTTGTTCCTTTCCCGCAGCAGCTCATATCCAGTCGTGCCGACCAATTTAATTTAATTTCATAGCAAGTATTTTGTCCAAAGTCCGCCACGTGCTACGTCCACCATTTTGTTTAATACATTCCACTTAATCGTTCGTCCCGCCATACCTTTGGTCACTTTCGCGCACCCAGTACAAAATCAATCGCATCTCAATACAAAACAAAAGCGCATCTCAATACAAAACTAAAGACTTCCACTTGAATTTGATGACTGACTCTTTCTTATTCTTCTTCTTTCTCCAACTACCCTCACTTCTAGTATATTGTTTATGGCCTCACCTCAACTGATTGCCCATGATGACGACCTTCCTCTCGAGCAGCAACGAACCAAACACCTTTATCACCAGCCCAGCACCGAAGGAATCTAGCAGTATAGACAAATTGTCCTCGTCCACTCTCGGCTCTATGGGGCGCTTGATGGTCTTCCTTCTAAAGTAAAAAGTAAGGTATAAAAAGACGAATATACAACACATACTAACATGTTACAATTTGTTATAATATACAAAGAATGTGGTGGTGTAAGAATATCAACTACCCCATATCGCCCCGTGAGTGTCATAAGAGGCGAAAGATCGAAACTATGAAACAGACAGCAGCTTCTTTCTAATAACAACTCAAAATAATAAAAATTATGATGACTAACGCGCATGCGTGGCAAGCGTGGCAATTATGGTAAAATTTCCCCTCTGAGGCAATCTATTGAGGGAACCTATGTTCGGCTGTGGACTTTTATAGACTGTAAAGGATAGATGGAAAGACTATATATACGAGGGTGGATTGAAAAGTACTCGGCCTAACACAGATCCATTCAATTCTAAAAATCAAATCTACCCACATTATTTAGTTCAGTTCAGACTAGTTCATTGTGTGAAGTTCGAAACGTGTGCGATAATTAGTTGTGATTTTATAAATTTATTAACAAAGTAATCGGACATAATTTCCACGAATGGAGCAAATCGAGCAGCGTGCCGTCATTAAGTACCTCCATAAGAAGGGGCTATCATCAAAAGCCATCCATGATGACATGGTCAGTACATTAGGCGATTGTGCTCTGTCATATTCATCCGTCAAAAAATGGATAGCAGAATTTAAGCGTGGTAGAGAGAGTGTGAAAGATGAACCCCGCTCTGCAAGGCCTTCGACGTCAACTACTGACGAAAATATAAAAAAGTACTTGATTTAATAATGGCAGACCGCAGATTAAAAATTAGAGAGATAGCCGAGATTATAGGCATCTCTTATGAACGAACTCAAAACATCATTGTCAACGAGTTGGGTTTCCACAAGGTGTCTGCGAGGTGGGTTCCGCGATTGCTTTCAGTTGAACAAAAAAGGACGCGATTGACTATTTCACGCGACTGTTTGGAGTTATTTGAAGCCGATGCAGATGATTTTTTGAATCGTTTTGTTACTATGGACGAAACATGGGTTCATTACTGTACACCGGAAACAAAACAACAATCAAAACAGTGGAGAAGACCTGGTTCACCACCCCTAAAAAGGCTAAGTCGATTTTGTCGGCAAATAAGGTGATGGCTTCAGTATTCTGGGACTCGAAAGGTGTGATTATGATTGATTATCTTGAAAGGGGTCAGACTATAAACTCTGATTACTATTGCACCTTACTACGTCGTTTACGAGAGGAAATAAAAGAAAAACGTCGAGGAATGCTCAGAAGAAAAGTCCTGTTTCATCAAGATAACGCCCGTGTTCACACGTCAGTACAGTCAATGGCTGAAATTCACAACTGTGGCTTTGAACTGTTACCGCATCCGCCGTATTCACCTGATCTGGCACCATCAGACTTCTTTCTGTTCCCTAACCTAAAAAAGCACTTGGGAGGTCAAAGATTTTCGACAAACGACGAGGTCAAAGCAGCTGTAGACGCATATTTTGACTCTAAGGAAGAATCATTTTTTTTCAACGGTCTAAATGCTTGGAAGGGGAGGTGATTATGTAGAACAATAAAAATATAACTGAATAAGGAACTTGATGGTGATTATGTAGAACAATAAAAATATAACTGATTTAGTATGTGTTTATTTTCTTGGTTAGGCCGAGTACTTTTCAATCCACCCTCGTACCATGTGATGTGTGTCTGTGTGTGATGACCGTTTATACGTGGTAAAGCCATGCTGCAGCTATATTATTAGTATAGTTGTAGCACGAATGGGTCGGCTCGAACGGGGTGGGATTACACTCTCACAGAATACCAGCGTAAAATAGCAGCTTAACGCGACTGTTTCGTATGGTGAGTGTAGAGCCTGAGAAACTTTTTACAGGAAACGAGACATTACATCTTAGTTCCCACGGGCGACAACGCATCTATATTTTGATTCGTAGTCGAAGTAAGATGTAGATGTCTATGGGCCACAGCAATCACTTACCATCAAGTGGACTGTGTGCTCGTTTGTGACCCTTATCATATTAAAAAAAACTATACAAAATTGTTACGTGTGAAAAGAGTTATGAAAGAGTTTACAGAATTACAATTCCACGGCGTATGGATTTTCACGATTTTTGAGACACGCGGGTGAAATAACGACAAATTCTTGACCCCTCTACTAGTATCACTTGACAGATAAACTAAATAACTGATTTTTGTTTCTGCCCAACCCGGAATTCGAATCCGGTTACGCACGTTCAGCAGCCGCGTTAACCAGCACTAGACCAAAAAGGCAGTCGCTCAATCAATTACTTAAGAATCTCTTTACGATCCATAGGCCGTCCCACTTACTAATTGAAATTGAAATAGACAACTGAATCACGTTGACAAAGTGCTCACATAAATAGTGACAGTGTTTTTTTAGTCACACTAAACAAAATCAGCGTTAGATTGTCAAAAACAACGTTCGCGGTTCACAAAACAAAGACCTGGTCTTATCGCCTGCTCGCAGTTGACTTAAGAAGTTACGTAGAATTAACCTTAACTTGTCCAACCAGTGCGTGTTGCCAGTGATGACTAATGGAACTGAGACGAGTTTCTTCACTGCTGGTTTTATGAAGACACTCAAGGCCGCTCAGCGAGCTGTGAAGAGGGCTATGCTCGGGGTTTCTCTACGTGATAAATTTAGAAATGAGGATATCCGCAGTAGAACCAGAGTGACCGATATAGCCCAACGGATTAGTAAGCTGAAGTGGCAATGGGCCGGCCATATAGCTCGAAGAACCGACAACCGACGGGGAAAATAGGTTCTCGAGTGGCTGCCTCGTACCGGTAGGCGTAGTGTAGGGCTACCCCCCACTATATGAAGCGACGACCTGGTAAGACATACAGGAAGTCGATGGATGCAGGTGGCTCAGGACCGTGCTTTATGGCATTACTTGGGGGAGGCCTATGTTCAGCAGTGGACTTGTGAAGGGCTGTAATGATGATGATGATGAACCGTAACTTAGTGTGCAATGTATTAATATTGTAGTGCCCGTCTAGTAGTACACGAAGAAACCTTTGCATATACTTGTATAAAAAAAAATTATAAAACACGTACCTAGGTCCTTCCAGATCCAGCAATACCCTCTTTGGACTGTTGTTGTTTTGCAAATCGTATAGTTCCGGTAGATACTTCACGCTCTCCGGTAAACTCTCCACTTTGATCAGACCCCTTACACTTTGCAAACTGGTCCCGGTCGAATCCAGACTCGTTGCGTTCGAATCGATGCTCATTTCGTTTGAATCGAGATCTGCGTACTTCGTATCGGGCAGGGTCTTTGCTTTCAATAACTCTCCGAGGTTGACGGAGTTCCTCGTGTTTTTGGTCAGATCTTCGCTGATACGAGGATACGTCAGCGTGATCTCTTCCCCGGGATTCGGGAAGTCGCTTTCGAACAGCTGCTGCAGAAGTAGATTTATTTCTACCTCCGAGTTGCCGTGATATGATTCTATTTCTTGTAATACCTGAAAAGAACAAATTATGAGACTATAAAAGAAATTGAACGTAACATCATCATGTCGTGGAGCCATGCTTCAGCTATATTATAGTTTTAACACTAATGGGTCATCTCTGCCCGACAGGAGAAGGACAACGCTGTCACAGAATATCAGCGTAATAGAAATTTAATGCTGTCATTCTTTGAATGGTGAGTGAATTTCATTTTGATTCTTTATTGGGGAAGAGATTTAGAAATTTACCGGCCGTAGCATCCATCTACCATCAGATGAACTACGCGTGCTCGTTCGCCATCCATACTTAAAAAAGCTACGTGTAATATAAAACGTTTTTTTTTTTTGTTATATAGTTAAAAACCTTTCTAGTTAAAAGATTAAAAGTAATTTTGTTATTGAATAATCCGGTAAACCATAGGGACGTGATTTACTTCGCTTTAATATTTAAAATTATATTAATATGATAGTGTCCAGTCAATAGTGTAATAGCTTAGGGGCTAAACGCCTGCTATAAGTTTCATAATAAGCAAGCAACTCAAGTTCTATCCTCGATAGCACTACTAAAATTATTAATTGTAAATTTAATTTCTTATTTACTATAAAAAGGTATATAAAAACTTAAATTTACAATAGAAATTGTATAAACACACTATACAATTACATATAGTAAAAAAGCACCACGATAAGAAAAAATAAATAAAAAAGTCTGTAAATCATTAAACACAAGGAACAAAATGGGACCCGATGAGACCCTTGCGGTAGCCCAAATCTTACTTTGATTTCTCCAGATTCGTGCCCAGAAACTGATAACTACGTAACTTAAATAATTATATCTATGGAGCTATAGTACCCCCATTAAATGGAGTGACGACCTGGAAAGACATCGATGGATGTAGGTGACAGCTGTATATCGTTATAATAATGATGATGATGATGAACCTATCATATATCGTATATGAAAAACTACGATCAACGTCTTTTTAATAACAACGACTAGTATACAATATTTGATTGTTACCTTATAATAGAAACCGGGCGCTCGATATTTCCCTATTAAACAATAGCAGAGCGGAAGACAAGTGGTGGCTCCCTCTGGTAGCACTCGTCGACAATATCTGTAGAAAACGAATAATTGATTATAAATATAAACCTCTCAATGATTGTTTTTTTTATTAGTATGATATTAATGCCATGTTTTGACATGAAACCGTCTTTAAATTTACTTCCATAATGGGGGCCAATTCAGATAACAAAATCGGGGAATATAATTTGATGTTGCTGCTACATATCTTTGATCTACATCCAAAAATAATTTACATCATAGCTAAAGAATTAAAAAATTCGTTACGTTGAGTGAGGAGAGTATCGCATTGCGCGCGACGGAGGGGGGGTGCGCCGCCATTTTGAGGTCGTTCGTATTCACGTCAAACACACGGCCGTGTCCACCGGCACAGGCACACCTGGATTTTTTCTGTATTCTGTTATGAATTGTTTTAAAGTAAAATGTCTCTATCCCACTTGTGGCCGTGAAGGGAAAAGGGGAGATCTCCCGCCGGGTAAGGTGTTCTGCCCGGGGAGCGGCCAACACTCCGAGTGATAGTTCGGAGAAGTTCTATATATATACTGTTTCTGATTCGGAATGTTGATATCGTGATTTAGGCTTCGGTGTATTTCGTTTGTGCTAGTGGCGCGACGACAGCGCCGATACATCACCCCCTGCTCAGACCGGAGGTCGATAGTGCAGCCTTGTTGCCGACGAATGTGCAAGTGCCAGGAGATTGCCTTGTAGTCTGCTGTGAGTCGAGAAGGCAAGTAATCTGCGAGAGTGCCGTGAAGCAGAGGCGAGCAGTAAGTCTCAGAGCCGTGCCGAACACTGTAGCGCAGAGTGTAGCTTGAAGGAACAGGAAGCATTATTATTCCAGTGCTGCGATGAACCTTGTGAAGCTAGATGGCTTGCAGGATATGAAGACTGCAGACGATATCTGCACGGGAGCGAATGAGTGGGATATTCTATGACGATTATGAAGCTTGAAGTTTCCGAAGGTTGTTTTTGGTTGCGTGTTCAGATCACGTCGGGGTCACCACTGTGGCCGTAGAAGGAAAAGGGGAGATCTCCCGCCGGGCAAGGTGTTCTGCCCGGGGAGCGGCTCACACTCCGAGTGATAGTTCGGAGAAGTTCTATATACGAGTATACTGTTTCTGATTCGGAATGTTGATATCGTGATTTAGGCTTCGGTGTATTTCGTTTGTGCTAGTGGCGCGACGACAGCGCCGATACACCACTTACCCGTAACTTCGTTCCCCGCGCTCGTCGGTGAGTACGAGTGAATACCGCTGAGAAGATTGCGCGTCCCCCGCGCACTGCGCGCCGCACAGCGTCTCCGGGAACACCAGGTTCTCGATGTGCGGCGGTGCCTGCACCTGACAACGGAGACCTCACCATCAGGACTTGTATTCGGTGAAATAACGGTGCCTACGGGAATTATACTTGCTAGAAAAACGCTGCAGCGTATTATAGCGTAGGTAAGTAAGAATGGATCGGATAAACCGGGGTAGGACTAGGATAGAATACCAGCATAAAATAACAGGCTAACTCTGATGCGTTTTATGTGATAAGTGTAGAGAACCGGAGACCCTTTTTACTGTAAACGAGATCTTTAGGGGTGAAACGCATCTGCTTTTTTTATAGAATAAGGATAACAAATCACAGTCCACCTGATGGTAAGTGGATGCTGTTGCACAATAGATAGACATCTACTCTATCAGAGTAGATGTCTGTCTATTGTGTATTTAGATAGACATATATAGATAGACATCTACTCTATCAGAGTAGATGTCTATCTATTGTGCAGCAACGCAGATGCGTTGTCACCCCCGAGGAGTAAGATGGAATGTCTCGTTTCCAGTAAAAAGGGTTTCCGGTTCTCTACACTCACCATACGAAACACAGCAGTATTAAGCTGCTATTTTACGCTGGTATTCTGTGAGAGCGTGGTCCTACCCCGGTCGAGCCGACACATTCGTGCTACAACTATAATATAGCTGTACCACATAAACTGCACTTTTATTCTTAATACAGAATAGATGCAGATGTTTATAGACCATAACATCCACTTACAATCAGGTAGACGGTGTGCTCGTTGGTCACACTTATTCTATATAAAAAGTTTTATCGTGTATCAGTGAAGTAAAAAGAGCTGTATAGCAAGTTACTTTATAGAATTGCATAATGATAAGTATTAGTGAAATAAATGGAAATACTAAATAATTTACATACTGATTTTGTACCCGACCTACAATAGTATAGCAATAGCATAGTTAAAGACCATTTATCTTGCCTACACAATTTTTATACACACATAAATAAGGTTTCAGAATATTTATAGTTCTTTATCTTCGTCAAGTAGGGTAAAAATGAGATAATTACGAAAATAAATTTCTTTTCTAATATGGACAAAGCTGATGTGTAAACTGCAGTAAGAGTGTGACTAAGGGAGTGAAGAAACCATTGTATGAACCGGAATAGAATAGAATGTAACCATTTTTATTTATTATAGAGTAAATAATACTTATTAAAAGTTATTTAAGCTTAACTGACTATCAGTTTGGAAAAAATCTCTGTCCTGTCAAGAACCAGCAAGAAACCCAGTGGGACGCTTTCTTAAAAAAATTACCATACAATATTTTATACAATTAAGTATGAAAACATTTAGAAACAGTATGGTAGCGATCACCTCATTCCGAGAGGTTATTATTAATCGTGTACTCTTTAGTCACTACTAACGTCGAGAGTCAAGTTGGACGCAAAAAGAGGTCCTAAAGGATCGGCTTTCTCATTTGCGGCGATGCCAAAAGCGAGTCATCCTTCTTGCGCAAAAGTGGTAATGATGGCTTACAGATATTCGGATTCGGAGATTCGGATTACGGATAAGAACACACGAGTTCTCGAAGGAAGGCTAACTAGTTAGTAACTAATAACCTTCACTAAACAATTTTAGCTTAATAAAAATATTTAACTTTTTGGTAGATAAGTCCTGCATATTTTCTGAATACAGTTCGATACAAATATGTATTAAGCGATATTGTCAATACGCCTATCAAACTTTGAGGCTCTGTAAACAACCCTCCGTTCCTAAAATTTGTTAATAAAGAAGGTACCTGACTCGGAAAAACGCTCTTCACGTACGCCTGGCCGGTCATGTAATTCATACCGACCAATAAGCAGACATTAAATAGGCCCTTCTCTCTAGGTTCAAAAGGCAGCCCAATATCTACGCAGCCAGTTTTCTCATCTATGCTCTGATTGTCTATGCTATCATCGCTAACCGCCAAATCATCTTTCATTGACAGCACGTTCCCGCGCGAATCTGTCAGGTTGAATTTCGAATCTGTGATGTCCGCCATTTTGTCCTTCGACAGATTACTTTGCGACGCTCGGAAGCTTTTCCATGAACGGAACGTAGAGTACGGATTGTCTATTATTTCCGATTTATAGGAGCAAATGGACGTTTGATGGCGGAAGCGAAGGTTCTTGACATTTTTGGGATCCAAATACGCGACCCTTGATGATACTCTTCGCACGTAGTTCTTTCTCTTTTCAGTTAAGCTTCTTGTTAGTTTTACAGACTCTGTAATAACAAAATAAAACACTAGTTATTGAGATTTTTCCATAGAATAGGGGTGACTAAAGAGCACAGTCCACTTTATGGTAAGTGGATGCTGCGGCTCATAGATGTAGCTACATCAATACTCAATTAACAATCAAAATGCGGATGCATTATCACCCATTCTACGCTGGTATTCTGTGAGAGCGTGGTCCTTCTCCAGTCGAGCCCATTCATTCATTCATGCTACAACCATAGTATAACTATAGCATGGCTCTACCAAGTTTATAGACAGAGACGCGTTCCCGTGGCCCCGTCTATATGCGGTAAAGTTGGAACACCATTGGGTGTAAGTTGGTGTAAGTCCGACATAATACGACCTTGCTCCCGATGATATGTGTAAACATTTCTCTATGAAAAAAAGTATTAAAAAGGTCTTTATGAAGTTTGTTAAAAAGATAACGTTTTAAGTCTTCTATTGAAAAAACTTGTAAGATATCTGCATTCTACATGCATAACCGAGGAGGGCGTTGTAGGAATATCCAGTACCCTACATCATCCCGTGGGTGTCGTAAGAGGCGACGGAGGAAAATCAGGAGATGGGCAGCAGCGTCTTCCTAATTACGACTAAAAATAAAAAAACGGTTGCCAACCCGCTTGCCATACGTGACATCCATGGCAAATACCCCCCCCTCCCCTCCTCTACCCATGAGGCAATCTATTGGGGAGGCCTATGTTCAGCAGTGGATTTAAATAGGTTGTAAAATATTTAAAAAAAAAAACAACAATTAGACATGACCTCCATCTAAACTGAAAAAGTAACTGTTTATTGGTCATGATAAATATTGAACTTATTTAAGATAAAGAGGCTGATGTAATTTTGGCAAATGTTTCATTTTGGATCATTAAGGATAGATAAATAATAATTTTAATACAAATTAAAGAAGTTACGTTAAATTACGTTACATAATACTACAATTTATGTAAGTAAAAATCGTGTGTAAGCGTATTAGCAAATTATGCTTATATAATATTATCTAAGGGACCACCTCCTAAATTATAACCTATTTAAAAGAACCATTCTATGCTTAGTGGCGTTGTAAGAATACCCACTGCACGACATCGTCCCGTGCGTGTCGCAAGACGACAGAAAGAACCTTAAAACAGAACCGTTGATGCGGTGGTGATGGGGCTGCGGGGGGAGAGGATTGTCGGTATTGCGAGGCGCCGCTCTCCCTATCCTCCGCAGCCGAATCTTGGTTGGCAGCGGAGCCATAGATCAGATCCGCCGCTGGGGTCGGGAAGGCTAGTACTTCTAAGTGCTCGTTTTTCCTGACCCCATGGCCTTCGCGCATCGGACGCAGGGGCGTCTGTTGCGCAGATGCAATTGGAGGCCGTGGAGGAAGGCGTGCCATGTGTTCTGGTGCGCCTTACTTGGGAAGGAGAACGGGGAGGAATATTCCTCTCCCGAGGAGGTGCTGCCATGGAGCGGCAGTCGCTGGTAGGGCCGCGGAAGTGTGCGAAAGCGTTCCCGTAGCCCTGCCAATATGCGACGAAGGTGGAACACCATGGGGTTTTAGTCGGTGCGAGTCCGACATAACCCGTCCTTGCCCCCGCGAGGCGGGTATGTGTAGACATTTCCCCATGTTAAAAAAAGGGGACTTTTATAGGCTGTAATGTATAGATGGATAGATGCATATAGAAGGAATTCTCACGGTGAGGGTAAAACAATTTTTACTAAAATAACAAAAACTTTAACTTGTTTATACACACTTTAGACCAATGAGAAGTCAACTATGGGCTAAGACTAGGGTTGCCAGATGATCGGGATTCGTCTGGATTTTCCCAACTTTTTGAATGATCTCCAGACTCCCGGCAAAACTCAAAATGTCCAAACAAACAGCTTCTTTTCAGATCATAGCTGAATTCGATTTAATAAAAGCTAAGTTAGTAATTAGACTGTACTTTGAAGTAAATTGTTTTAATTTTAAATCAACCGAATACTAATAAAATATCCAAATAGGTTGACTCAGTAAAGTCCAATGCCCAATGCATGTGGCAACCTAAAAATTAAATGTACTTAAATTAGTTATGTGTCAACAATGTTGTCTTTTTGTGTTTTTTTTTTAAATAAACTAATTAATGATTTCTTATATTTACGCGAACATTGCACATGATTAAAACTACTTTTACGGATTTTATCGCGTTTATTTTTACTTTTTATTTATTATATTTTTTGGTTAATCATATCCTAGACGGCCCCAACCATTACATCAGATTTGATAGACCACAAATCCTCGCGAAAGAACACCGATTCCTACCAAGGATGATACGTGAGGCTATTGAAATTAAAAAACATCCTAATTTCAATAGAGAAGGAGGCTGGGTACTACCACCTGCTTGGGATCCTATAATCAATAAAATTAAAACTAAACCCAAGCATACCACTGCAAGAACTCAAGACATAGTCAGTTCATTTTGCATAGATCGGACCATAAACAATAATTAAAAAAGCTGAAGGTACTCCGGGTTTAACAATGACATCGGGACGTCAGTCATCTCAGTCCCCCGTGACCATGGGTGCTGGAAAGCGCCCGAAACGTCGGGAATTAAAAATAAAAAGTAAAAATAAACGCGATAAAATCCGTAAAAAGTAGTTTTAATCATAAACTAATTATTTAACATTTTTATTTATAATATTTATTTCTCCCGACAACAACCAGACATTTTCAAATTTTGTCCAGATATTTTGGTCTTCCGATCTAGCATTCCTAGCTAAGACAAACCAATAAAGATAGAAGGAGTGATACATAAATTACAAGTGACGCCGAAAACTTTTGACACGCACTCACGCACACATATGTACTCTTTCTTTTTTTAACAGCCCATATAAGTCTACTTCTAGATTCAGAACATTCGTAATAAGCGCTATAAGTCGTCTTCCATAACGCGCCCAGCTAAAGAGTGGAAGCCCTGCAATAGTTCCCACGCCTGGCAAAAGGCATCATGAATACGCTGCTGCCCATCTCCTGGTTCATTTTACCTCTGTCGCCTCTCACGACACCCACGGGATGATCTGGGGTAGTGGATATTCTTAAACCGCCACTACACGGTAAGTAGTGTGTCCTACGTAATGTAAAATTAGTTCAATTTAAATTCCATACCTTCGCTCGTACTGCTATCAGACATCTCTGTGGGGAAGCTGCCCGGCCGGTTATCGTCCATGTTGCAGGCGGCTGATACCGTCTCGTAGATCTCCGTCATCAAACGGTTCAGCTGCAACAGACAAAAGAATCTATAAGTTTTATGTATATCATATAATTTGTTTTTAATTTCCCGAGGAAAATCCAGCAGAAATCAACTCGGTATCTGTCTATCTGTCGTAATGTTTTTTTTTAATGTTTCACGTAGATTACGTGGGCGCACTGAACTTATTGGCTTCTGGCCGAGCATAAATTTTTGAATTTCGAATGTTATATTTTTTTAAACGAAACTCATATACTTATAGATTTAAATAATTTTCGGCGGCAAATCGAATATCAATTGTTTTTTTATTACTACAAGTTTCGTCATTTAAATTAACGAGCAGATTTTGAGGCAATGATTTTTTAAGTTTTAAAGATCCCTTTCACAGCAAGATAGAACTGCTTGTTTTTAAAATGCTTTTAAGTGGGTAACACCTAATTTGAGCACCGTAAAGCGTTGGTCCGCAGAACTTGATAGTTGCAATATTTCTATCTATGATGAAATTCGTGAAGGTCGACTCTCAACTGCGATCAATGAGTAAAATGTGTACTATCAATGGAGAAAACCGGCGCATCACCTATGAAGATATTCGAGGACATTTGGATATTGACATGAAATTCAAAAAACATTATGTTAAAGAGCAAAAGTTAGAAAACTTTGTTGCTGGTGGATTCCTCATGAACTCTACCCAGAACAAAAACGAGTACGAGTTGATAAGTGTAAAAAAATTAAGTATAATCACGGGACGTTCAAACAGATGATATTGAGACAGGAAATGAAATTTGTACCTACATGTGGAAAAACCTTTTGGAGGTTTTTAGTTTCAGAGTTAGTATAAAATATTTTGTGAATTAGAACAAAAAAAAACTTTTTTTTTTAAAAACTTTTTCTTTTATATAAGCCACTAGCTCAAAATGTGATCTCAAAGTTTTATAGAAAAGGTACCTTATATGACCGTGTCTTAGGAAATTTAGAAATAATACTACCGTACTACCGTAAAGTCAGAGTATATAAATGAATTTATATACCGTGGTAAAATGCTCTAATTTAACCTACCTAGCCTTAGTTTGCCTAAACGGATCATTTGGATTTCATTAGTAGGCTATTTAAGCTAGAGACTTGTGTCTAAGGTACGATTTTTATCGAATGGATTAATTGTATCATATTTTAATTTCTATTAAAATATGATACAATTAAATGTTGCGTTGATTCATTCAAAGAATAATTTGTTTATTACATTGATAAAGTAATGGTATGGTATCGCGATTATTTATAATAAAAAATAAAACCTGATTTTTATTTCATCTTTTTGTTTTATTTTCGCACACATTTGTCACTAAATATAGTCTTCTAATGGATCTAATTAAAATACGGATGCTTCAATGCAAAAATATCATTAAAATTAAAAATATATATATAATTTTGTTACGATCTTTTTTTTATTTGAATTATCAGTCGCCACCGACATTTTATAATTCAAATTTTACTGGAATTTTCGTAACTCAATACCCATCCATAAGGGCACCTTTGCCACTGGAACGTCAAATATATTATTACATACGGAAAATAAGCAAGTTTTCTGTACAGACGTTTGAAGGCGACTGCAAACAAACAAAATTGTAGCAGACAAGAAGCGTGGGGCAAAAAACTGAATAACCTTTTTTCAGTATTGTCCTGTCTGTGCGATCCCACTTGATGAGCAAAAGACTACAAGAAGTTATCCTGATTAGTACACCACCATTTATTTTTCTGATTTTTGTGTATTTGAAAAAGTTAGTGAAATAAGGACCAAGATTCGCATCCTATTCCACCATGACAATGAACAAGTCAAAATCATTTTTTGGTTCTAAAGTGGAGCTCGTGACCCAACGCACACACAGTCCAAACTTCGTACGATACGATTTAAAAGTATTTTCCCAACGGTGAGAGGTTTGACATTTACGGAACAAGAAGGGGTCGTGTTTCAACCAGCACGTCAAATATATCCCTTTAGAGCTTAGGAGGTCTAATGTCTAGTATGTTTAGTCCTTATATTTTCAAAAATGGTTTGACCGAATGAAGGTGTTAGAATGTAACTGAGAATACCTTAAAAATCAGTAAATATATTAGTTTAAATATACATTGCTTGATTTATGAGTTAACATAACTTAAATTGCACCCCACGTATTAGAATTTTTCATAGTAATAAAATGCAATCACCGAAACAGAGGCGTGCGTTTAAAGATTCGAATTTTTGACTAAAGAAGTAAATTGTGGTTACAGCCTATTTAAGTCCACTGCTAAACATAGGTATCTCCCATAGATTGCCTTAGGGAGAAGTTTGCCATAGTTGCCACACTTGGCAAGCGGGTTGGCAATCGCAGATTTTATTTTAGTCGTTATTAGAAAGATGCTGCTGAACAGGACTATCTTAAATTTGTTTCCCTCTTTCGTCTCTTACGTTTATACGTGGTAGAGCCACGCTGCATCTATATTATGGTTGTGGCACGAATGGGTCAGCTCGACCGGGGAAGGACCACGTTCTCACAAAATACTAGCGTATAATAACAGCTTAATACTGCTGTGTTTCTTATGGTGAGTGTAGAGATCCGGAGATCCTTTTTTTACTGGAAACGAGGCATTCCATCTTAGTCCTCAGGGGTGACAACGCATCTGCGTTTTGATTCTTAATCAAGGATAAATGTAGATGTCTATGCGCCACAGCATCCACTTACCATCAGGTGGACTGTGTGCTCGTGTGTCACCCTTATTCTATAAAGAAAAAACGTTTTAAGTTATAGTTGACGAAAAGGAAAGTTGATAAATTAAGTAAACATTATCATGTGGGGTATCAATTAAAATTACATTTAAAACAAGGCTTTAATAAAACATTACTAGGGTTGACTGTTACTATTCAATCGATTCTAAAATTCTCTCTTGACACAAAAGTATGACAATTAATGATAAGAATAAAAAAAGAACTAATTTAATTTAATTTTAAAATTCTCGCAATACAAAAGAAGCAATCTCTTGCTGTGCTATCGGTACAAACAATGAACGCATTCGGTGCAACTCGACGTGATTAAAACGTCGGGCTTAATTTTGGTGATGACTCACAAAGTTATCGCTAAGCAATAAATTACAACTGGCTGACTACGGGCCGTGCCCTTTAGATACTATTCATTATTATTGATGTTAATTTACTAATTTCTAGTTGACATTTAGAAAAAAGGTCGTTAAGGAGTATATTAGGGCTGAATCTGAATGACAGGGTGAGAATTGAATGATAAGAGGAAGAGTGTGGTTTACAAGATGATGTTGTGCAAGATTAAGAAAGGAATGCTTCGGTGGTTTGGTCATGTGGAAAGAATGAATGAGGAAAGTGTGACAAAGCAAATTTATGTTGCAGAAGTGAACGGCAGTATCGGAAAGAGACGTCCTAGGTGAAAGTTTATCGACCAAATTGGCGATATATTGAAAACGGGCCAAATTAGGAGTTCCCTTAACCGACGAACATGTATGCGTAGGTATATGGATGTGAAGGAGGCGAGAGAGGTGTGTCAGGATCGTGCCATATGGAAGTCTGTAGTCTCTGCCTACCCCTCTGGGTGACAGGCGTGAGTGTTTATGTGTTCATTTAAAAAAAAAGTAGAGCCACGCTCCAGCTATATTACGGTTGCAGCACAAACGAGTTGTCCCAAACGGTGAAGGACCACACTTACAGAATACCAGCGTCAAATAGCAACTCAATGCTGCTATGTTTCATATGGTGAGTGTAGAGAACCGGAGACCCTTTTTACTGGGAACGAAGCATTCCATCTTGGTCGTCACGGGTGACAACGCATCTGCATTTTGATTCGTAACCGAGGATAGATGTCGATGTCTACGGGTCACAGCAGTCACTTACCATCAGGTGGACTGTGTGCTCGTTTGTCACTCTATCCTATAAAAAATGTGGATGTGCATTACATTAGTCACCTATATGCTATAAAATAAATAAATGGGTAATCACAACTTCTTTTTTTATTTTTGTTACGATTCTTTTTTTAATAAATAGGTACTTCAGCGTTATTCCGAAGTATTTATTTTGGAGGAAAACTTTCACTTCTAAGGGTGTTAAAATAGGATAACTTTCACTATTTAGACGATATTCTTGTTGTTACCTTTAATTTTTGTATTTCAGAGTACACTTAAAACGAAATCCATTAAATCAAAGATGTTAAGAGTTACTTCGCAACCATCCGCTCAATAAAATAATACGTTGTGTGCCGCCCTCCCTCAAAAGGCGGGAGGTGCTCTTAGACTCCCTCAGGGATATAGTGCCTTTTTAATGGGAAAAGAACTTTTAGAAGTTGCATTTGTCCACGCGAACAAAGCGCGGGCTGGTCAGCTAGTTAATAATTAATATATATTTACACGTTCTTTTAAGAACATCTGTCGCATAAAAACTGTCAAATCTACAAAGAATTGTAGCTTATTGTTAAAATGATAGTGTTATCGCTCGTCGTCGACATTCGACTACGCAACAGACGCGTCACAACCTTGACAATCGCACGCAATATGTAAACTAAAAAGTTGTTACCGCACGTTGAAATACCTTTTTTTTATATAAGACTGACAAATGAACACACAGCCCACTTCTTTATATAGAATAAGGGTGACATGTAAATTTCTATATTTATTCTCGATTAAGAATCAAAATGTAAATGCGTTGTCACCCCTGAAGCCTATGATAGAATGCCTCATTTCCGGTGAAAAAGTCTCACCATACAAACACAGCAGCATTAAGCTGCTATTTTACACTGGTATTTTTTGAGAAGGTTGTTCTACCCCGGTCGAGCTGACCCATTCATGCTACAAACATAATATAGCCGCAGCGTGGCTCTACCGCGCACAAGTAAGTGAATGCTGTGCGTGTATGTTATTAGTAAGATGAAAGTAAGTAAATTCTGTATGTGCTATTAGGAAGATGGAAGTAAGTGAATACTGCGTATGCTATTAGGAATATGGAAGTAAGTGAATGCTGCGTGTGCTATTAGGAAGATGGAAGA